ACTTTAAATTAAAAGTAATAATAAAAAAAACAGTTTAAACATCAATTTTTTGTGTGTCACATTGTACATTGAATGCAGCACTAGTTCAATTAGATGTTTGTGATATCAAAATACTAAGTCTATACTTTCGTACAAATTAGGAATTCAAATTACTGATATTTACAAGTCAGAATATAAAATAAGAGCTTCTTAACTTTTCAATTTGCTAAGATATTGCTCATGTAATAAATCAAACACAGTGGCACCCCCACCCACCTCTTTCCATTTTTGGAAATGCTCCCTTATATACACTTACTTCTATATATGACATGAATAACCAAACAAAAGCTCAGAATGTTCCCCCAGTGGCTATCTCTTTCTTTCTAACCAAGATTTCAAGGAGGTAGGTTGTGTCTTTAGTCTGCTCAAAATTTCATATTTTTTTAGACTGAAATACATCTTAGTTACTAAGCTTGATAAATTATAGTGGAATTCTATGGTACTGATACAGTAATTTATGATTTTTTGGTTATTCAGTTGTATATACAAAAACCTAGAAAAAATTATTTCCTTTCATATCCTCCACATGAAAAATTTTAAAAGGCTTAGCAACCTACGTCATGCAGCAACCAAGTACAAAGGTCGTAACTAGAAAAGATAATTGTTTGATTTACTTCTTTATTTATTGTTCTATGTTTTAAGAAAAATATGTTTAAAAACTTATTTATAAATAGCAATAATCTATATACATATATAATGTATAATAATTGAAATATGACTGTATTTTACAAAATACTAGTCTAAAGGTCAGTTTTATATTATTAGATATGGTAATTTGAGTGCATATGTGCCATGTAATTGTAAATTCTGTATTGTTAGCCAGGCATGGCTGAAAGGTCAATATAATAAAAATAATAAGTATATATAAATGTATAATCTTATGAGATTTAAGGTAATTAGTTTAAACATTCATGTTTTTGTGTTATAATCTATAGTCATTCTAGAATGAAAGAGGCATAACTTATATTTATTTCCTAATTTTTTTAACGTGGTTACAAGATCGGTGAAATTGACTGATACAGAGTTTCGTTACTGAAAATAACAGATAAAAAATAATATTTTTTCTTAAGAAACATTTGATAACTATGTGGACATCATAAAGATTTTGCATGTGAAATTAGAAAATTTTCTGATGCACAAAAGTATTTTTAATCTTAAAATGAAAATTACTTTGCATGTTGGATAGGCAACATGCAAAAAGAAAAAAAGGCACGAGAGAAACATTGCTTTACAAACCTTTAGACTTAATAAAAAAAAACTGATATTTTGTGTATAAAAGCATTGTAATGTTTATTAATAATCTGCCAAATTTTGTTATCACACGCTTACTAATCTAAAAGTTATAGCATGAAAACTATAACAAGGTTGGTCCCTGGGACCGATCCAGTGCCGAAAGAGGTAATATAGATGCAAGTACACAAACACATACATAAATACAAAATATCCTTTAACATAGAAAATCACAGAACCCTTCAACATGGATCAGTATTACTTTTATACTATATCTCATGAATACAAAATGAATCTTTTTTTGTATAACATTTAGTCAATACAGAACTAAACCTCATTACTGTTAATACAACTAACCCTCCCTCCTCCCAAAAAAATTACATTTGAGTATACAATATATTATCATGATGCAAGCTCTTGAACATACAAAAAAGAAAGAAAATATCATGACAATTGAGTAATCAGGAAACCATGAAGGTAAAATACAAAAACACAAACAAATTAATTTACAACCCTTTCAAATCAAAAATTACATATATTTACATTCATACAACAGCCAGCATGAGGCCCAGCCCCACTCTCCACAATCTTTATAGCAGACCCTCCAAAGCAACAGTAGAATGATAACTGGTCAATGTTGTGACAAAGTTGTAGCTCCAGGCCAAGGCTTTCTTGGTCTGTACCAACTCCATGAAAAGTTGTATACTTCCTCCTCCAGTTTTTGAAGGCAGAGTCTCCTTCCAATAAAGCAAGTTTTCCTCACAGTTAAACAAGGTTAAAGCCTCTGTCCATTTTCTCACCATCTCTTTAAAATTGGGATCTGCTTCAAGGTTAACTGGATACTGATAGTGGTTGTTGATAGGTTAGTCCTCTGTTGTCAATGTGGCTCCTCCATTCACTTCAGGTTTCACAAGTACTGCTAAAACCTTAAATGTTGTTTCTGGTGCCAGTTTCAGTATTTTCACTATAGCAGTAACCCAGAAGGTGATCGCTCTGGCTTAGTCGTGGTTCCTTGGCTTCGGAAACCTTCCTAGGGTCTAGCTGGTTCTCAAGTTGACTTCAGCTCAGGAATGCCTTTTTTTTTGGCTTCAGGATGAAGTGATCCCCCTGGAGGTGGACATACATTTGTTGGCACTTGTGTGAAATTCTCTTGCACCCTCTGAATTGACATAGGAAATTGGAATTTTGTCGTTGGCCTACCGTCCGGGTTCCTGTTTCACATGGATGTCTTCATGGGTTGTGATGCCTCCTGTGAAGCTGGTTCTATTGGTCTGCTGCTGTTGTTGCTTCCATTTCTACAATGGTTGTGGCTTTGTTTGGGAAGTCCAAGGTCAAATTGGAGATCTTATGGGTAACCCAACAACAGATGTTGTAAGATCCTCAAAGTCAGATGCACTGGCCAGTAATGTATCTTCATCCATGAAAACCTCTGTGTTGAAAGTCAGGTCTGCTCCTGGAATCTTGGGATCAGTCTCAAATACTAGCTCCTCATTCAACAGGATGGTCCAGGGATATTCCTGATCATCATATGCTCTGTTCTCTATTATTGTATTTGAATCAGGGTTTCACCACTCAAAGATTGGAAAACTGACTAATAAAAGACAAATTACCAATACTATTCACAAACTTGACCTTAAATACCAAAAGACTGAAATGAAAATGTTAGATCACTGAAACTTAAATGGTTAAAAAATCAGATAGACATTTAGGTTGCTGGGGTTCTTAAACTAATGAGTACAACCATTACTCACCCCTATAAACTACCTTTAGAGGCTGAGTAATCTATGATGACCTTTGATAAAGCATTTTTCTCTTTTCAGGCTCTCATGAAATAAATAATCAAAGACCAAGCTATCACTGTAGTATATAACAATATATATCAAATAAAAACATAAACCTCTCACTCCTGGAGGTGATATTATATGCCTTTTAAGAGTACCAGCAACAAAGATCTAGCAAATATTAAGCAATCTCCTCTGTGGATCTCTCACTATTTTGCTAGATAAGGTGAGTGATATTCATGAAAGTGGACATTTTGTCTTTGAGGAAATCACTACATAGCTCAGTAACAAAAGTTGCAAAGACCATTCAACCATGTTTTCAAAACCCTATCATCTTCAAAACTGTCAGTGCATCAGGCATTATATCTACTGGCACCAGCCATCTTAAACTACCTTATTTGAGCAGCTACCATCTGACATTCTAGGGATATCTCTTGTTGTGAAACTCTGCTCTATAGCTCAGAAAGTAATGCTTCCAAAGCCTTTTCAATCTAGTTAATCTTGTGACCAACAAACTGTCCTAACTTCAGACTTACTATACCCAAGAGAGTGTTTTCAAATTCCTAGTTCACATCTCCTGTTGCACAAATTTATATGATATTTACTAGCACCATCCATTGAAGCGGATATCACACAATGTAATCTCACACTGGCTGGCAGCACCCACCACTAACTCTTGAACTACTCTTCTTACTAATGAAGAGGACTGCCACATTATAAACCCTCAGGTCAGTACAGCCTGGTATTAAGGATTGGGTGGTTGCCTTATGAATTGAGGATCAAGGATTTGATACCAGATACCATTAAATATGTTTGCCCTTTCAGTCATAAGGCCATTATAATGTTGGGTCAATTCCACTATTCTTTGGGAAAAAATTAAACCAAGAGTTGGCAGTGGGTGCTGTAGGTTGGTTTCTTTCCATCTGGTTGGCAGTTCAAAATTAGGGACAGTGGAAAATAGCTTAGAAACACATAAAATAACCTTGAGAATATCAAATCATGTAATTCATAATTCACTTGTTAATATTAGACGTTTTCATTTCTTAATATCAAAAAATAATATTTAACCCTCGATTGCTAGCATTAAATTTTTAATCATTAAACCAGTTAGTACCTGGTCAAAGTGACATTATAGGGTTAAATAAGTTTTCACTTCATTGTATGATTTGACACCTCTTCACTACAAATTTTCCATTTTCAATTTTTTCACCAACCTTATATAAAGCCCTGGGTTTAACATAAATTACCCATTCATAGTATGTTACAGATTTATTGTTGCTATCGCTTAATTCACATCAACCAGGTACAAGATTTATTTTAAGGCATTTATAGCATAGGTAGAAAACCATATAATAGTAATAGTTATAGGATACTGTTCTCCTTGTGCATCTTATTATTTTTTGTTCTAAACTGCATATCTAAAATAAATAAAAATTATTTTACACACTACCACCATCATTACTAAAAAAATTAGTGCTAAGTTTCATCGAGGCTGACAGCAAGAAAACAAGAGGTGGTTAAAAGGTTGGTCACTTTGACCAAGCCTGCATATCGGGTTATGAAGAGATAAACTGCCTACACTCAACTTCCAATAGCCAAACAAAAACACCATTAGTTACACACAGTGACTGGCAGATGAGGCTGCTATGATACTAATAATAAATATTCTTTGGTTATCAGTGTTGACATAAATCAATACATAATCTTTTTACTTCAAAAAATAAAATTAAAAAATATCGATACAAGGGTCACTTTATCACTCATTCTATCAGTAAGAAATATATTGCAATAAACAGCATGTATCGATGTACTGGCACAGCCCTACTGGGACTCGTGACCAATGAAGTGTAAGCTTCATGATGAAGGGAGTTGCAAAAGCATTGAGAAAGGAGCATCCAAAGTGGGAAAAAAATCTACTGAAACACCAAAGGATGTAAGGGTCACTCTGATGGAAGAATACAGATTGGGCAAAGAGCTAATCCACCTTTGAGTTCAAAGTTTCTGGGAAATGGCAGGCTGATAAACTGGAAATTGTGATTATGAGCCCAAATGAGGTTCTCTAGAGTTAGAGAGCAGAAGTTTTGAGAATGAATTCCTGTCTTTAGATTGAAGGAAGAAACGACAGAATCATGATAAAACACCAAGACAGACATAAATGAACATAGTGGTAAACCAATTTAACTGTTGACTGCTCAAAACACTGGAAATAGTGAAGGTATCCACAACTGTACCCCATATGAACAGAGAGGTGTCCATGAACGGTATGTCCAGTCAAGGTGGAAGAATAGCAGTGTCCAGCAATGTGTGAGATTGATTGAGCCAACATGATAGCAAGAGGTGATGAGATTGAGGGAGAAAAATTAGAGAAGTTAGTGGATCTCTAAACTTATTCATCTGATTTGCCAGAGCTCACTAAAGGGGACGCAAATAGTTCTTTGGGTTACATTTTCTATCAATTTTTAGCTACTTTTTTAAGCTTTAATACTGCTTGTAACTACAGTTCTTTGCTGGTTACTTATTAGTTTCAATACACAATAATAAGAACAAACAATTTTAATATTATAACAATAAGCCTTAAGTGATGACAAAGCAACATGATTACTAAATTACATAAAACTCTAAAATATGGCTGATTGGTATAGAAAAGTAAGGAGATATATATACAAAATGTAGGTAATTTGTGACTGATCAATACAAATTACGAGTTTCACAAAAACACAGGTAAAACATACTGACCAAATATTAAACATTAAGCTATGCTAAACATATCTTTGAAATGCTAGTAAAAGTGATGCCATATTTACTTAGGTGAAAAGAAAAAGAGCTTAATATTAAGAATGATTACATAGGTTAGAAAATACAAATAATTTTTGATAGCCAAGGTAATTTTTGTACTAAAATACTCACCTTGTCATTTTTATAGACAGAAGGCCACTGATTACTTGAGTCATAATACAACAGAATATTCTGAACTTCATAACCCTACACAGGAAAAAAAAATGAAAGTAAAAATAGTGCATAAAAAAACAAAGACGTAGTGTATGAATATATAACGTAAACTCAAACACTGATAGTGGGGTAATGAGATAATCACCACCACCACCATTATTCATTTACTTTTACAGGAGTATTGCATTTTTGAAAGCAAAATCTTCTTGTGTAAGGGACAAAATGCTGGGAAAATATACACGACCTTCTTAAAATTCTACTTTTCCTCTCCCACTCTCACAAAACACACACACAAAAGTAGAACACAACATTTTGGATTTTGCTTTTAGTAAACAGTGAAAAAACATTATCCTGGGATTTACCTAATTATAAATGGGGACAAAAGGCACTGAAGGCTCAACTGTTTGCACAATTTTTAGAAATATAACTTTATGGTGTTTATTTTTCATAAAATAATGTAGACACTGCACAAAGGTTGTGTACACACACACTGTTTTTAAAAGTTAATAAAATGAAAAGATATAAATAAGTTGTAAAAAAGTGTCTATTTCATATGATGCAAAACACTGAAACATTGGTTCTTCACTGCTATGTTTTCTGTCTGTTGCCATCTGTTAAATTTTTTATTGTAAAATGGATAAACTGGATGTATGTATTATTATCTGAATCATGTATATGAAGAGCTTAGATGCAAAATACTGTATATCCAATTTCACCACTTTTAGAAAATAAGCTTTTCTTCTATAGCTTTCACAAAAAATACTGTGAAATTTATAAAATAAAGCCATTACAGATTAGTATATGGAAACCTAAAAAATCTAACTTTAATAAATATTGCAAATTTTAGACAAATTCTTTTATTTTTGTACAAAACACTTTATATCCAAAGGTTTAAGTCAAAATGCTGCATATCCATCAATAGAATGCCCTTGGCAGTTCAGTCTTGTCATGAATGGTGTATATCACATTTTGCATATAAGCTCTTCATACTTTTACATGTGTTTTTATGGTTTTTAAAAGTTAGCCATTAGGATTTTAAAACACAACATGTAGAAAGTCCCACACACAAACTGATAAAAAAAATCATGGTTTATGTTAATACTAACTTGAACTAAAATAGTGTTTAATATACATATAACACTTTAAAGCTGTTTGTAATGTAATATATTATTTCTAAACATCAGTCAAACTTTACTGGGCTTTTACTGAAGACAAAGCAATGTGATAATATTCTTGTATTCATTCAAATAGGCATGGTATATGCATGTTTGACAGAATATATAACTTTAGTTTGAGATACAACATTTTTAAAAATTTATTTGTATTTTCAGAAACTTGTGTGGTACTCTAGAAATCTACCTGCAGTGTTTATCTAGCAACAGAACAAACAACATGAAAATAATATATATACATATTTATCTAATGGTCAAGATATAGTGTAAAATATGATGCCCCTGAAATAAATCTTGTGGTCCTGGGTATCAGATAATATAAATTCTACACCTGATTAAAAGCACATAGTGTGAAATCACATTCCTTAAAGGCAATCACAACTATGCATTACTTAGTAATCTTGCATAATCATCAAAACTTTGTGTGAAAAATAAATCCACTATTTCTTTTTCTTGTCAGTCTAATATAACACAAAACACACTTGAAAAACTTTAATTTAATTCTTCATTTTTTAAACTAACTTTCAGTTGTTTTTTATGACAATTTATTCATAAATTAAATTTAAATTACTAAGCCGCACTCTAATCAGCATATATCACTAGCCTGGTAACAACATTATTTCAAACTAATGGCCATTGTATTTACTATTTTCATTCTTTGACCTACAAACCCAATGTCTTTGTACTAGTTTATATATATGTTAGTCATCTTTGTTGATACTGTGCAAGACTGTTTTTGTCAGATCACCTACTAACAATTTTAAAAATGGATTAAATTTTTAAATTTACTAGCATAAAATACCCATGCTCTGCTGTGGGTTTCCCTCATGATTAACAGAGCCCCATTGTACCAATCAAGCTTCTCTAGTATTTCCAATTACTTCTATAGCTACTCCAAGATGGATCATCAATAACCAAATATATAAAACTCATCCATGGTAAATAAATAAACATGTGAATCTAGTCTGGTCCTGCTAGTACTAGCTCTTGGATGGGAGGTTATGATGGCACCCCAGTATCATGCCAGATTCAGCTGCAGTGACCCTGAAAAGCTACTCTTAGACCAGACATTCCCAGCCTGGGGTACATTTGCACTTCTCAGGGGGTACATAGGGGTCTGAGAGTATAACCATGGTTTACACTTTACATGGTGTTTTAATCTACAGTCAGACAAAGATAGCAAAGTGGCTCACATAAATATATGCTGAGTTCAATTTATCAATACTATAAGATCCTTATGCAGTCCACACATA